TACTGAAATTTACGAATTTGCCAAAACCCGTGAATAGATTAAGTTATCTTAGAGTTTCCGCTGAACGGTCGTCTTTCTCTTTTATTTCTGGTGATGATGGTAATTTAATACTTAAATAGAATGAATCTTTGGAAATTTTATCTTTATTTTAAATTTTAAATTCATTTTCTAGAAGCAACTCCATATAAACCGACTGATACTTATGATGGCTTTGAAAGAGGTAATTAAGTATATATAACATTCTTTATTATTTAATTGTGCCTTTTTGATAGCGTTTTTTATCATTTTTAATAGATTCTCGAGAAATAAGTTTTCCAGTATCCGATGAAGACCTTGCAATCTCAGTTAATAACTTTTAGGTCAATTTTTTGAGGGTTTTGTCATGTCAAATTATCAAATGATATATTACCAAGCGTATATATATATTGTTTTAGTAAGATGTGCTTTTCTATATAAATTAATGATTAATGATTAATTTTTTGGTTTTTTAAAATAATTTTAAGCGTTACTATTATTTACGTCAATAAGACAGGAAAATTTAGTATGAACAATGGTTTGATATACGAACTTTGAGAACAATTTATATTTATTGAAAACAATTTTGCAATAGATCTTATTTATTGCTTTGTGTACAAATTAAAACATTTTTTATATAAGTTCAGTCTAATAAAATTTTATGAAAGCTTAAATTTTATTGATGTTACTTGCAAAATTTTTGCTAGGAAATATCTGAAATGCGCAATGAAAATAGTAAATTCAAGCCTTGTTCAATCATAAACCTAAACCTTATTCAACCATTCTTCAGCCTTTTTTACATCTAAAGTCGTCCCTATGCCAGATCGATAACAGGCACTAAGATTTTCTTTCCCTAAATAGTTTCCCTCTTCAGCAGATTTTAAAAACCATTCAAAAGCTTTTTCTTCATCTATAAAAGTTCCTATACCCTCGCGATAACATTCACCAAGATTATTTTGTCCAAAACTATCTCCCCCTTCAGCAGATTTTAAAAAGTATTCAAAGGCCTTGTCTTCATTTACAAAAGTTCCTATACCACCACGATAACACTGGCCAAGATTATTTTGGCTTGAACTATCTCCTCCTTCAACAGATTTTAGAAACCATTCAAAAGCCTTCTTTTCATTTACAAAAGTTCCTATACCATCACGATAACATTCACC